CCAGGATGGTCTCGATCTCCTGACCTCAAGTGATCCACCCGCCTCAGCCTCCCAAAGTACTGGGATTACAGGCGTGAGCCACAGTGCCTGACCATGAAATTAATTTTATATTTAGCCCAGTATGTCTAAAATGTTATTTATCATATAATCAATATAAAATTATTAATGAGATATTTTATATACTATGTTTTCATATGAAGTCTTCAAAATCTGATGGCTCAATGGGCACATTAAGCCTGTGGCTACCGTTTTGGAAAGTGCAGGTTGAGAGAGAAAGGAGAGGGGAAAGAGACCCATGCCCTGCCCAGGGTGCCCGCAGCCTCCTCTCCTCCTTCCCACTGAGAGCTCAAGCTCCAGGTCCCTTCCCTTCCATCTCCCCATCCAGTCTGCCTCTAGCTCTCCCAGCCTCCCAGCATTCCAGACAGCAGCGGGCAGGCGTGGGAGGCGAGAAGGTAGCTAAATCTGGGGCTGAAGACAGAAGACAGAGGATGTGCCTTGGTCCGGGGACCCTCCCCCATTTGCCCATTCCTGTACCCTTGCACTCCTGCCCTGAGATCTGCAGGAGGAAATGGGGCTGCTGGCACTTAGCTCCTCCTCCAGGCAGTTTCCCATCAGATGTGCACCCTGACGACTCAGTGCACTGGGTAGTGGCCGGTGGGAGGGAACACTCTGAACCAGCAAAGGCGTCCTTGGCAGAGGGAGGGACCAGATGGTGCTCCCCAGCCTGCCAGGCATCTCAAGGAGGAAAAGCCTGGTTGAGAGGCAGGTGGCGGGGAGAGGGATAGTGCAGGAAAGATATCTAGGTATTGTGACATCCCTTATGCAAATCAAATGCAAATTCACACACAGATTGTGTCCAGAATTGTGGAATAACCAGATCGTGCTTTTTGACTAATGGCCTCTCAGAGTGTAGGGCTGGAGGGGGTTGTTGCTTAGCGGTGCCTGCTGACTTTGCATTTCTGACTTTGCCAGTTATGTGCTTTGTGACCTTGGCCAAGTTACTTAACTTATCTGAGCTTCAGTTTCTTATCTGTGAAACTGGATAATAATATCTTCCTACATGGGCTGTAGTGGAGATCCCCCTGAGATAATGGTCGGTTAATATTGATCATTGTAAAGAATATAGGAGGGGTGTGTGGAGAATGAAGGTACTATGAGGGGCAGGGGTCTGAGGCTGGAGAGAACACATCCTGGAGACCCGCTTCTTGAATGCTGACCTGAGATGGTATCTTTGGATAAGTGCAGTGTTTCTGAGGTCCTTCCCTATTTCCAGGATCGATGTGAAGGGCAAGGAGGCAGGGTGGTGTTGAGGGCTCATAGACAGCACGACAGAGACAATGGAGGAAGGTCAGAGGCAACAGACTAGACCAACTCCTGCTTGGTTTTGGCCTAAAACATTCTATAATTTCCCTGGTCCCAGATATGTCCCTGGACACCCATGGGCCACACCTAGGGAGCAGGACCAGGCTTGGCAGGAGGAGCCCCAGGTTGCTGGTATGCATTGCCCTGGAGTTGGCTCTTTAGTCATTCCTCACAGCACCATCCAGCCTCAGCATCCTGGCTCAGTCCCTTCTCCTTCTTCTCCTGGGGAGCCACACCTGGGAAACCCCACCCGGGGCCAGGCGGGATGCCTCTGCAATGAGGTCACTCTAGTCCCACCGCCTAGCACCTCACTTTCAGGACCTGGAGTTCTTCCTGTCATCTGGTCCTAATTGCTCTTGCTGCTGTTTCGTGCCTGCAGCCCGCCTCTGGGCATGACACAGCAGGACCCATCGGGGCATGTTCCAGGGCCCTGAATCAACTTCTCAGAAGGAAGGGGCAGGGCCTCGCTCCAAATCACATGGCTGCCGTGTGCATGGCTGGTATAAAAATGAGCCCCTGCCACCTTCAGCGTTTACAGGATCATCCATACCACAAGGCAGGCAAATGCTGAAAAAATTAACTGCGTAAGATCAGAGTGGATAATTTTCATTTAATCATCTCTTGATTTTTAAAAAATGGATATCGCAAAAATATTTTGGCAGGCAAATTATTACCAGACACAGAAGATTCTTCTAAGGCGTGTTCTAAAAAACACTTAGTTCTAAGTGTTTTTTAAAAATCTACTTTTAAAACTAACAAAATAGAAAACACAGTGTATTTAAAAGGATAACAAGCAAAACGAACTCCTTGCTGCCCCGCTATCACTGTTATGAGGAGGATATGCAGTGTGGCTCCTCCCTCGGCAGACCACGTTCTGACCCCTGCCCTTGGGGGCCACCCTTTGGTGTGCCACTCTCTTGGCTCTCCTCCTACTTTCCGACCATTCTTTTTCCAAAAGTCTTCGCCACAGACTTCTCTCCCTCTGCCCATACCCCACGTGCCAAGGTCCCTCAGAATTCTGCCCTGGTCGTCCACTCATTCCTGCTGATGGACTCTAGCTTTCACCTCTTCCAGGTGGGGTTTCCTAACTGTGACGTCCCAGAGAAGCAGAGGGTACTGCTTACCAGGATGGTGAGGCTGCGGGGTGGTGGTGTGAGTAATGCCAGACTCTCCTACATCTGCATTCCAGACTCAAGTCCACTGGGATGCTGCCTAGGTCCCTCAAACTCAATCCATCCAGATGCCGACACCAGAAGCCAGGGAGTCACCTCTCTTTCAGCCCTCCCACCCCACCCCACCATCTAGTTACTGATTCAGTTCTGCCTCCCACCCAGGCAGCCTCTCCTTTCCTGCTGCCGCCTTAGCTCAGGGCCTCAGTGTCTGTCTGGATCACAGCATCAGCTGTTGGGCATGTAGTCTCTGGCATCCAGTCTGGTTCTCTCACATCCAGCCTTAACACAGCCGCTGTGGCAGGCTCCTTGTAAGCCCTCTAGCGGCTCATCACTGCTTACGGTAAAATCCAGTCTCCTCACCTTGGTGTGTGAGGCCCTCCGTGGCTGGACACCTTGTTGGAAATAAGCTCCTCTTTGCATCTGGGACATTGCAGCCCAGTTCATGCTGCCAAGCCCTTGCTCAAATTGTTCCCTCTGAAATGCTTTTCCCACCATCTCAGCCAGAGAAAGGGACAATCACTGGTCTTCTGAGTCTGAGCTCAAGCACCACTTCCTCTCTGAAGGCGAGGTGCTTCTTTGTCCCTGATGCCACAAAACAACCCCTCCCATTGTCAGACCCCATCTTTCCAGTACCTGCATCACTCCAGTGACCTGACTGCCCACCCTCTCACCACACCCACACTAGACTGTGAGCTGCTCGAGGTGTAGGGGCTGTCTCCTCCTCAGTTTTGTTTCCAATTCCTAGCCCAGTGGTAGGTCTGCTTTAGGCGAGGTAGCTGGTGTTTGGGGCTGCTCCACTGGCTTCTGATAATAGATTCTGGCCAACAGGAGTATCCTGTTGGTCAGGGCAACTTGTTTGGGGGTGGCTATCTGATATAAGCCAATCAGAGTCCTTCTTGAGATTTGTCCAAGTGGAGGGAGACAGAAGGACATGTGTCCTTGAAGGATCTGGATCTCCTGCTGCTGGAAGTCATTTCTCTCCACACTTACAAGGTCTGTTTGTGGCAGGAGGGAATCAAGCCTGGGGGAGAGTAGCAGAAACGAAAGATAGACCCAGACAGCATCCTGGTATCTTCGATCCCCATGCCTAGTCCCGGAGGCTCCCAGAGCTGTCTGGCTCCTTGGCAGTGCCTTCAGCTCTGAGAGCTAAGTTGGCAGCCTTCTAATAAGTCCCTTTGCCAAAGCTAAGAGTTGGGTTTCTACTCCTTTTGACCAAAAGGTCCTGCCCCATTTTGACCAAAAGGCTCACTGTTTGGTGAGTGAAATTATGGGAAAGATCCTAAATCAGTAGATGAAAGAGTTCAAAGGCCCCCAGGTTATTACTCACAGGACCTGATTCACTCCTGTGGCCTCTTCCTCTCCTGACTACATTGAGCCTCTAGTCTCACATTCCATGTCTCCAGGGCTGGGACAGTATCAGCACCTTACAACTGTCCAGCACTTAACAGTTGCAAGGTCCTTTCAAGGTCCTTTCAGAACTATCCTCTCAGGAAAAAAAAAAAAAAAGGCTGAGTGTGGTGGCTCACACCTGTAATCCTAGCACTTTGGGAGGCCAAGGCAGGAGGATTGCTTGGGGCCAAGAATTCAAGACCAACCTGGCCAACATAGCGAGATGCCATCTCTAAAAAAGAAAAAAAATCTCATGTGACTCTTCAACCACCCTATAATGGAGCTAGGATGGGCTTCCTTATCCCTATTTTACAGATGAAGAAACAAGGAAACAGGAAATGACTGGCCCTAAAACACCTATGAGAGCCGGGGCCAGCATCTGAGGGCAGGTCTCCTCCTCTAGTCACAATACACTACCCCTCCACAGTCACTCAGTATGTCCCCTTCCCCTGGCTGTTCCTGCCCTCCACTAGGAAAGAAGAAAGAATATTCTTGCTCCTTGGAAAGTGGGGAGGGCCTCCCTGGGCTGAGAGCGCTCCCAGGCCTTTGGTACTTTACTATGGGAATTTCAGGGCCCTAATGTACAGTTTTCATCCCTGTTAGGGTAAATGCATTTTCCCCCTAAATGAAACAAAATTTAATATTTTCATCAGGGCAGTCCTGGAGGTGGCTGAAGGGTCACCTTCCTCTCTGGAGCTTTCCTTCCCTGGGGAACCTGTTGGGTCAGTCAGAGAATCCCAGAGTTTGAAGACTAGGAGCACATTCAAGACGCCAGTCTTGAACATGGGCAGGGCAGGAATCCTGACATTCCAGAGAGGTCAGGGCCACCAGGAGTGGGTATGTCTTGTGCCACCACCTGGTGTCCCCATCCAAGGATGTGCTGTGCTCTCAGAGGGGGAAAGTGGGGACACATGCAGTGGACTTTCACTTCTCTGGGGCCTGCCTTTACCAGCTTGTTTGGCTTCACATGGCTGTGTCTCTAACCCGGTACCACAGTCCCTAGGGAAGGGACAATCCTCCTCCCCTGGGTCCCTACTGTGCATCCTCAGGACCAGGGTCCAGGGTCCTGAAATCACACACAGGGAACAACATCCATACCAGGCCATTAACTCAAAGGACCGGGTGTGAAGGACTGCTCTTTCCATGCCCAAGCACGTGTAATAGAAAGTGACAAGATGCTCCAGTTTGGCCAGAGTTGTCCTCATTTCTGATGGCTTGAATCTGGTGGACAGGTGTTCTGGGAACCATACCCTTGGCTATATATAGCTATGATTTATTGAGAGCTCTAGGCCTTCAATAGCATGTACATAGCAGGAGGCAGGACAGCAGCTGGCTAAGTACTCAGGAGTTGAGCTGCTGCCTCAAGTCAAATCTCCACAGTGCCCCCCACTATCTGTGCAACCTTAGGCAGGTCCCCGCTTGCCTCAGTTTCTTCATCTATAATGTGAGGACAGTACTTAATAATACCTATTTCATACGATTACCCAGAAGATTAAGGTGTTAATGTGTGTGAGACATTTCATATAGTGCTGGGCCCAGAGCCAGCACTCAAGATGTGTGTTAGATATAGTGAAGATGCTAGATGGCTTACTTACATAATTTCATTAAATTCTCAAATTAATTATTGAGGATTATTATTTAACACTATTGTCCCTGTTTCACAAATGAAGAAACTGAAACTTAGAAAGCTTAAGTAACTTACTAAATGTCACTAGCTAGTAAGTGGAGAAGCTGAGGTTTTAGTTTGTGTCTGTCTAATGCTCTTACTTCCATGAGATGCTGGGGTTGCTTATAAATTGCTCCCAACTCAGTCATTCACAGCACTTTTCCAGTGAGTCTCCCACTTTCTCCAGCTCATGAGCTCTCTTGTTCACCAACACGGAGCCCAGGGTTATCCCCTTGGTGCTGACCTAAATAGTCCAGGCTCCCTCTTCCAGTTCACTGCTGGGCACAGGAGCCTTCTGCAAGGCTGGACCACTGCCTGCATCCTTTGGAGGGCCGGAGGAGCCCAACGGAGTGCTGCAGAGTAGTGCTCTCCTGCCCCTGGCACATTCCCTCCACAGGAAGTCTCCGGTCTTCTCCATCCTTCCTCAGGTCCCCAGCTAAATCTAACCATTCTGGGCAGGAGCTCCTTCCACCTGCCCTAATGGGAACACGAGGAAGATGCTGTAGGGGAGCATTCTCACCTTCTTGTGCATCACAGTCCTGGTCCTCAACTGTCCTTACCTCCCTTCCTCTTAGCCGAGAAGTGGAGACACCCAGTTCTCTTTGGGCAGACAGCACCTCTGTGCCTGGGACACTTCCCCAGGAGCTGGCTCTGCACCCACTGCTCTGACTGCCTTCTTAGCCACTCCCATCCCAGATCCCCTCAGGAGAGCCCTCGTCTGTCCTCAGGACTCTCGGCTTTTGTCTACACCCACCTCCATTTCTTTCATGCCCACCATGTCTTACTTTGGGGTAAGTCACTCCCAAGTTGGGAATTCCATTTATGGAAGGGCAAAAAACTTTCTCCAACCGGGCCTCGGCCCGCGTACTTGGACTTGGGCTGGGTGAAACCGCCAGTTCACTTACCACAGCCCCCGGGCTGGCCTCCTCCCAACTCCTGACCACCCACTCCAGCGGTTCTGCTCCCACCCCTCCTTACCTTCAGCTCAGACACCCTAGCAGGGAAGCTCAGCTGCAAAGGCCACGGGGTCCCTCCCCCATCCTACCTGGGGTGTAGAGGCGCTGGTTTCTCCTTGGTAACCCAGGAAAACCGGCAGTGCAGTGGGAGGGAGGGAGGTGCCGAAGCAAGCTTCTGGACACGCGGGAGGGATTATAGCCCTCGGGTGCTGGGAACAGGGACGGCCTTTCGCAGAAGGCTGGGGCCCCAGGGCTTGGGACCGCTCTCCTCCACGCCCTACGGATGCCCCATTTTCCCCCTCTTCTTCCCATAGTTCCTCCGCTCGCCTCACTCGGATACCCAGCCCCGGGCCAGACGGTCTGCAGACAGTGACTGTGGTGGGGAGGAGGCGCGGGGCGTCCTCGCATGGAGGGCGTGGGGTCTCCTGTGGGTACGGACCGGCGCTTCCCCGCCACAGAAAACGGAACCCAGGCAACGGCCGCCTGTGGGCTTCTGGCCGGTGTGGGCAGAGGACGCTAGAGGGGCTCCCGGGCCCAGCTGACCTGAGCGGGCCCCGATAAGGGAGACCGGGGCTGTGTGTCCCCACTCCCCGAGGTCGCCTCACCCGCTTCGGGAGCCTCGGCGCTCGCCTCACACAGAGTCCCGCGCGCCGGCGCCGGTCATTGTCGTTGGGGACGCCCCGTGTTGCTAGGAGCGGGCCGGGCCGGGAGGACGAGTGCGCCGCGGTTCAGAGGAGGGGGCGCTGCTGCTTCCTCGGCTGCAGCTGCGCGCCGGCAAGCGGCTCACTCGCGCGCAGGGTGGCGAGGCCAGCCCTTCGGACGGTTCCATGGAAGCGGCCGCTTTGGGGGTAGTGGGACCGTGGCCTTGAGCTATGCCCTGTGCTTCCGTGGGACGTGTCTAGGAACGGGTGGGCTTTCTGCGGGAGGCGGAGGTCGGGCAGGCTGCTGGTCTGGAGTCCTTGTGCTCTATTGCTAGCTTTTGTGTGGCCATGGATAGGGAGCTGGTCCAGGAAAAGCGTCTGTGGAAGATGAGGAGGGTGGACGGACCTTCTCCAGGGCACCTGTGTAAGTCATTGAACTCCCCTGAGGTCTCCTGTTGACCTTAGGCCCTGCGGGAGGGCACCGTCCACCTTTTCCCCGGCTGAAAGTCTGGCACCAGACGCAGGAAGGTTCCAGGCCAACACAGTGCTCTTTCACACAGCCCATGCCCTGTGCCACACACCTTTCCAGCCCTGGCGCCACAAGATGTGGTTGGGGCCCCTGATCTCCCGGAGGGTGAGAGGGACAGACTTCAGAGGGACGGCTAGTAAAAAAAAGAAAGTGACCTTCAGGAAGGGAGAGGCAGCCAGGGTGGTGGAGGTTTCAAACGGTAGCTTTGATTTCAGCTCTGCCGAGGACTACTAGTTGGTTACCCTGGATGTACATCTCGAAGCTCTGTTAACTCATCAATAAATCGGGGTGCCACAACTCATCTTGGCGCCCGCGGAGGAACTTGGACCAGGGCCTGTGGTGAGCACTGCTGAACAGTGGCTACTGCTCCAGTGGCCAGGATGCTGAGGCAAAGCTTTGCAAGCAGCGAGGGGCCAGGCACCAGGGATTGGGTCCGTTCAAGCCCTCACCAGTGCCTCACCACCAAATCATCTATGCCTTAATTAGAATGAGAAACTGTGCAGAAAATGATGTCAAGCAGGCCCACGCTGCTAGAATTTTTACTACACAGAACTTGGTACCCAGGGAGCCCTTGATTTGAACATGGGTCCCCTGGGGCCCTTTCCTTCATCTAGCAACAGAGATCTAGGAACAGAGGCAGAGGTCCAACATCTGGCTGTCTGAGGTGGACTCATTCTAGTAGGGAAGGAGGGCTTTCCTCCATCTCTTGGCTTCCACCTGCTTTGAGGTGTCAATTTTCAGCTTCAGCTCAGGCTTGAGGCAGGTGCTGTACAACTTGTTTTAAGAAGTGTAGTTTGTCTGACCCCGCTCTCCAACCTTATCACCTGCCCCTATCCCAGCTCACTGCTCAGTGGCACTGGCCACCTCACAGCATCTGCATTGGCTGTTCCCTCAGCCTGGAATGCTTTTCCCTCAGATTTCCACATGGGTCACACCTTCACCTCCCAGCTGCCTGCTCACATGCCACCTCTCGGTGAGGGAATACCACCATCCACACTCCTAATCCCCATTATCTATTTTTCCCCCCAGACCTCATCACCATCTGACACTTTCTCCCTTCTAAGACAGGGCCTCACTCTGTTGCCTGGAGTGCAGTGGTGCAATTATAGCTCACTGTGGCCTTGAATTCTTGGGCTAAAGTGATTTTCCCACCTCAGCCTCCCAAGTAGCTGGGACCAAAGTGTGGGTAGTCTCAGCCACTTGGGAGGCTGAGGCAGGAAGATCACTTTTTTTTTTTTTTGTAGACAGGGTCTTGCTGTGTTTGCGCAGGCTGGTCTTGCACTTCTGGCCTCAAGCAATCCTCCAACCTCAGCCTCGTAAAATGCCAGGATTATAGGCATGAGCCACCAAGCCTGACCCTCTTCTTTTGCTTTACTGCCTGTTTCCTCCACAAGAAGCAGGCTCCATGAAGGAAGGAATCATGTTTGGTGCCCGCCACGTTCTCAGTTGCTCAATTCATCGACAAACCAGCAGGGCCTAATTTAATTTAGAGGTCATTGCTAATGAAAGAAGTGATAGCAAAGGTCTCCACTGCTGAAATGATTTTCACAGGATGGTTCCGTGTTGTCCCAGTAGCCAAGGAGCCCTTTGTCAGTGCCCACTGTTGCCTGGCACGCAGAGCCTGTCTGACCACTCATGGCAATGAAGATGGCCTGATTTGGATCCTGGGTGGCCTTTCAGACAGTGTGAGTTCAGACTGGTGTTAAGGCACCCCTACCAGGTTGCTGGGAGGGGCAAAACTACTCTTTTTTAAAGTAACAGAACCTCTGCAGCTTCCTGTCCTCTGAAATTATTTACTTATTTGAGACAGAGTCTCGTTCTGTCACCCAGGTTGGAGTGCAGTGGTGCGATCTCAGCCCACTGCAACCTCCGCCTCCCAGGTTCAAGCAATTCTTCTGCTTCAGCCTCCCGAGTAGCTGGGACTACAGGCGTGTGCCACCACGCCTGACCCACACGCCTGACTAATTTTTTGAATTTTTAGCAGAGATGGGGTTTCACCGTGTTAGCCAGGATGGTTTTGATCTCTTGACCTCATGATCCTGCCTCGGCCTCCCAAAGTGCTGGGATTATAGGCGTGAACCACCATACCCGGCCAGTGAAATAATTTCTAATGTGCAGTCACAGCCATAATTGCCCATGTCTTCTCATTCACCAAGGGGGTGTGTGTCTTTGGGCCCACTTCTGCCTTCCCTAGACCATGTCTCCTTGTGTCAGGTAGGGCCTGGCCCAGGTGATCCTCTTTGGCTCAGTTGCTTGGCCTCCAGCCTCTAGTCCTCGCTTCAGCCAGTGGGAAGGTTCTGCTGGCTCCTTCAGGGCTCCTGGCATTGCCTTTAGTCCATGTGGGTCCCCGGGTGGGCCAGGGTCAGAGCTGGCTGAGGGCATAGGCTCGGGCTGTACTGAGGGCAGCTTCCAGGTCAGTAGTGCTTCCGGTGCCTTGGGCCACCACTCGCGAGCCCCAGGCCTTGCCCCCCATGTGGCTGCACACTGCCAGTGCCCAGGCCTCTGCTGTGAAAGTGGGCATGGCACCCTAGGAACAGAATGAGAAGGGGAAGCGATGCAGAGTGGCCCTCCCTGCCAGCATCCACCCAAGGTACCCTCAAGAGTGGAGTTGAAGGTGATCAGCGCCCGCTTCCCAGCTGGGCACATGGTGGGGCAGTCGGGTGACAAGTCGGAGAAGGTTTGGGATGGAAATGTGTGTGGGGAGGTTTATGAATGTGAACATCTGCTACTTGTTTACAAGGGATGTGAGGCCTGGGAGGGGCTGGTAATTAAGGAATCTCTGGTGCTTTCTGGAGTAGGGAGGGGCTGTTTTTAGGAACAAGGAGATTCCCCTATCCCTGTCCTGGAGTATTCTCATAGATACCTCCACCCAGCCTTGGCCCCTTTGTCTGGGAAGAATTAAAGGTGTAGAATCAGACAGCTGGACCAGGATGGGTATTAATGGGGGTGGTGGGCTGCTCTCCCACTTCCCTCACCTGGGCCACCTGACAGGCACACAGCACCTTCCCCATGGACTGGGGGCTGAGTAGGAGCACAGATGTGCTGGGGGCCTGCTCACATAGCTGCCGCACCACCTTCACCAGCACCTGGACCATGAAAGACAGATTGTGAGCCCATAGCTTCCCAGACCTCTAGCTACCTCCTGGTCAGGACTTTGCCCTCCTCAGACCCTGGGGCAGCCCCGCTTGGCCAGCACTCACTGAGAGAGACTCAGCAGAGACTGTGTCCACAATCAGAGGCCCCTTCGAGTGCCGCTCCAGCAGCTCCTGAGTTTTCTTTGCAGCCTATGGGGCAGGAAGGATGAGCAGAGGGGTCAGGCTGAGAAGCAAGTTTCCAATTAGCCCCCACCTCTGAACTGAGACCCAGCTAAGCAATCCCCTGCTTCCCCCACCCACCCCAAAGGTCATCAGCTCTAGGCAGAGGGGGCAGGGACTCTGCCTAGGGTGGCCTCCTTTTTGGGTCCCACATGTGTCCTTCCTCACCTCCCTTGCCACTTTCCTTTCATCATAGCTTCAGGCCCCTACAAATAGGTCGCTGAAGGTGAAAGGAGGAAGGTCAGAGCACAGATGGACCAGGAGTGGGCGGGAGAAAGGGGATCCACAGTGGAGGTGTAATCAGGGCTGAATGGCACTAATCAAGTCAGCAGGCTTCTGGGGTTGGGGGGCCTGAGCCAGACTTGGGAGTTGGGGGAGAAACACAGTTTGAAAGAGACAGAAGTGGGGGAATGGCCTGGGTGATGGTTCTCAGCTGGCGGGAGAAGGAAGAAGCTGCCACCACCCCGTCCCCATGTCCTTGCACAGCCTCAGACTCACCCCCACGCCCCAGCCCTTGAGACTTCTCAGTATATGTGCTGGAGTGTCTCTGGGCACATGGGTGCAGCCAAATCTCCTCTCACCTGCCCCATCTGCAGCTTACGGATGGCAGTGTTGGCACGCCGCTGCAGCATCTTCAGTGTGGCCAGCAGCTCCCGCCGCTGCCACTGGGGCATCACAGAAGTGTCCACAGCCTATGGCCAGAAGCAGTGCATCACCCCTGCCCTTCCCTGAGCCATAGTCTCTGAGGTAGGGACCAGCAGGGCCCTGTAGACAAACATCTGGGCCAGCTGGAGCCCAACCCGACTGGAGTGCTAGGGAGAGTCTAGAGGGGTCCAGGGAGGAATAGGGGAGGGAATAGGGCCAGGAGAGGGTGGGGAACAGCTCCACAGTAGGCGTGGCCCTCACTTCAATGAGTCGTCCTATGTCCTTGGACAGCCTCAGTGCTTCTGCCACATCCCGGCTCCCCTGACTCAGTCGCTCAGTGGCTGCTTTCACTTCCTGGGCCAGGTTCTGGCCTAGCTCTCGGGCCTGCAGGGAGGGGACAGGAGGGTCAGGGCCGCCAGGCTTACATTCATCTCCCCAGGACAAGGCCTCTCAACTCATTACTGGTCAGGGACAAATAAGATATAACAATCAAGACCAGTCAAGACACCAGCACCAAATAAAACACATGCCAGCTGCCAACAGCTGCTATGGCCACATTGGTGTGCAAGTATTAATACTGGCTCTGCTGCTGGGCACCCCTGAGCCCGAGCATGTCACCTGCGTGTGTCCCATGCACCCACTCAACCCAGAAGTCCCAGGCCTACTGGCATGCTGACCTGCTGGGCCTGCTCCCCAGTGATGGCCAGCAGGCGGGTAGTGCCCTTGGAAAGCTGGCGGTCCCCGATGATAACCAGGTCCCCTACAGCCCCTGTACGTAACAGGTGCCTGTGGGAGGAAGGAGGGAACAGAATGTCAGGGGGCACGACAGGAGACAAGGGAGAAGCCAGAGTGCATCTCCCATTAAGGGCTGATGGCTCCAAAGACCAAGTGAAGGGCGAGGATCTGGGGCCCCTGGGCCAGGCAGCACAAAGGAGTGACTCACGTCCCACAGCATAGCTCCACAGAGGTCTGCAGTGCGGCTTGGGAGGCTGGGTCCAATGCATGGGCCACGGGTACCCCCACTGACACCACCCGTACAGGGTCTGGGTAAACCTGAGGTCAAGAGGGGACAGGCCCGTTAACTGCCAAAGGAGAAGGATAAAGCCTCCAGGTATGCCTGAAGGAGGCCCCCGATCTCCACCAAAAGGGCTTCCCCAACTCACTTCATCCAGACAGCGCAGGCCAGGGACCTGGGCAGTGAGTGCCAGGGGCACCTCCTCCATGTACACAGGCTTATCCTGCTGCACGGCCTCCTGCACAGTGTTCTCCACTGTCCGGAGCTGCTCTGGGGTCAATGTGGTCTGGAGGGGTGGGGAGGAAATGGAAAGACCAACATGCAGTCAGCCCCACACCTGTAACTGATGCACTGAAACATGGTCAGTGTTCACTGAGCTATCCCCAGGTTCTAGAATAGTGGCTAGCACATGATAGGTGCTCAATAAACACTAGCTGAGCAGACAATTCTTTTCCTTAGAAAGCTATCTGGGAGTTTGGGCTTACTGGAAGCTCCAGGCCTTTCACTAGGCACCAAAAGTTGAAGAAATAGAAAAAGGAGGCTGTACCCACATGGAGCTTACAAGGGGCAGCCCAGTGGAAGAGAGAACTACAGGATGGGGGGATGCAGGGGCAGGGAATAAGCAGGTGGGATGGGGAT